ACAGCTCAGAGTCTTGCTACTAGTGACATCCCTTGGGGACTGATCCCACAGCCAGTACTTTTTAGTGTCCTCAGCACCAACATGTGCTAGGGACAGAGAGCACTCCCAGAGAGTTCACAGGTGCTTGGTGGGACAGGACTGCTGGTCAGAGGAATGTGGACAGGTTGGACTGGTATCTCATGAAATTCAACTATAGGCACTGCCAAGCCCCGCACCTGGGATGGAAAAGCCCCAGGCACCAGTACGTGCTGGAGACCAGCCAGTTTGAAAGCAGCTCTGCAGAGAAAGCCCTGGGGGTCCTGGTGGACAACAAGTTGGCTATGAGTGGTTAATGCACCCTTGCAGCAAAGGCAGCCAACAGCCTCCTGGGCTGCGTTAGGAAAAAGCATCACCATCAGGTCCAGAAAGATGATCCTTCCCATCTACTTAGCACTTGTGATGAGTTTTGGGCTCCTTTGACCCTTACGTGCTGTAGGCCAGTGCAGGCCACCAAGCTGGAGCACGAGTTATACAACAGAGGCCAAAGGACCTAGGTCTGCTCAGACTGGAGAAGACAAGGCCTTTGGGGGACATTTTCAGCTACTTCGTGGAGCTTCTAGAGAAGATGGAGTCATACTTTTCTTTGAGGTGCACAGAAAGAGGGTCAGAGGCAACAGTCACATGTTGCAACAAGACAAGTTTGGAATTGATAAAAGAAATGGAGTTTTTCACAAAAAAAATGGTGAGTGGTTAAGCACTGTGAAAGATTGCACAGAGAGGCTGGCGAATCTCCATCCTTGGAGGTGTTCATAACAAGACAAGGGCAAGGACCTGAGAAACCCCATCTAGCTTCAAAGTTGGCACTGCTTTGAGCAAGAGGTTGGACTAGAAACCTCCCAAGGTCCTCTCCAACCTCGGTCACTCTGTGCTTCTGTGGCTCTGTGAAGATGCAGCCAGAGGAAAGAATGGAAAATACAGATGTAATCTTCTTGGCACACATGATGAGAGAGTATGAAGCCACAGATCACACGGATGCTGCACAGCTTGCCACACAGAGGAGCTCTCCACATTGGCTCTGGGAGTAACAACACAGTTTAGGCATCAGTTGTTCAAGGGATGGGCAAGGGAGGGTCAGCAAAACAGTGATGCCAACTCCCCAGGTGTCATGGGCCTGGGCTGAAACAGCTCACCTAGCATATTAAGTGGCACTTTGGCATCTGTAGCCCTTCTCCCCACAAAGCTGGACTTTGCTTTTAGAGGTAAAGAAGCAACATTTTAAGAGGGTTTTTGGGGTCACCTCATTCCTCCAGCTGCAGACTACTGGGGAGAATAAACTGCGGGGACAGAGGAGAGCAGAGCAGCTGGGAAAGCCAGCACTGTGGTCCCACCACGAGAGCACAAGCCCCATGGGAAAGCTGAAATCATGGAGCCTGAGAGGGTCCTTGGAGAAGACAGAGGGAGGGCACAGAGACAGGTTCAGTTAATCTGATCACCACAGCAACCAGTTAATAACTGACACAGTGTTATTTGCCTTGCTCCAGCTGAAAGGGGGTGTAAATCCCCACTCCCTTATTCATTATCAGCTTCTCCTTCCGTGAGATCTCCACGAGATATCGTTAAAATATCAATTTCCTTGAGCAAATATACCAGGTTCGTGAGGCAATCCTCTGCCCAGGTGTTAAATAATGATGGTAAACCTGGGGGAGCAGGGTGCCACTCTTTTCATCGTGGCCAGCAGCTCTCGGAGGTGGGACAAGACCCTGTGCATCCACGCTGTTGAAGGAAACGAGGGCTTGCAAAGAAAGGCATTGACAGAACGGGTCAGTCCCACCACTAAGAAAGCTGTGCCCAACAAGCCCTCCTGCACTTTGCTTTCTGCCCCCTAAACACCCTTTGGAGACTGACCGCAGTCAACTCCAAAGACACCAACCAGAATCCTGCACTTGCAGCGGGTGATACTTTTCCCCACTGTGGTATTTTTGGCACATAAGGTGGCGGGGAAAGGGTTATGAATGTTCAGAAACATGGCTGAGGAGTGGAGGGAGGGAGGCGAGGAGGTTGGTATACAGAGGCAAGGGGCTCCAAGACCCTCTGACTTGGGCAACTGCAGGCAAATAACCCCTGGCTAATGTGACGCTGGTATCCTTAGCATTGGTGCCTGTCCCCAGCTGGCAAAGGCAATTCTGATGATTGGAAAGGCCTGGTTCATTACAGTGCCTCTACTCACAAGCAGTCACATACCAGAAACATCTTGCCCTCACAGCAGCGGGAAATGTTGAGGCAAGGGGTTGCCTGAATAATTTCAGAGATGCGTTGCGCTCGTTAAAAGCTATTACGAAAAAAAAAGCAGCTGAACCAACAAGGCATCATTATTTTTTTCTGCTGACAAGCAATGTCGGCAGATCACGCTATCATGGGAGCACCCTGCAGGCAGTGGGAGACGGGCCAACCCCCCAGGCAGTGGGAGATGGGCCACCATCATGGACATGGCCAGTCTCTCAGGAGAGTGCTAGCCCAGGCGGTAGGGCTGCAAGTCCTTCCACGCCACGTACATGAGTGTCAGTCCCAGCTCTCTTTTTCACAGCCCAGGATGCCAGGACAGGACTAGGGCAAACACCTGCGGAACAGCGGGAAGCTGGGTCTTTAGCTCAGCCCCCACCACAGCTGCCTCCAGGAATAGGGTGTGAAATATAAGCTGTAGGTGGAGAGACGCCCAGAGAAAAATAGGGTGGATTTTTTTCTCTTTGGAAATCTGGGAAATGCCACACCCGAGAACATACTTGCCACCACACCAGTGTCTACACTGCCACAGGTTCTGTTTGCATAAGAAAAAAATGCTGTTAAGTCTCACAAAACCCCAGCCCGGTGCATTCCGTCACAGTGTTGGATTACCACCAAATGGAGGCAGCTTTCCCTATATATTAAACTCCCCCAAAATTCAGTGCTGTGCCAGAGGCTGAGCTGCAAACAGGTAGGTAAGATACTACCGCTCAGGGTGGGAGCTCTTCTCACTCCCTTCAGCAATATCATCTCCTCGGTGGCCCAGGGGCTGCAGCTTATTGCTGCATGAGATTTCTGCTTGAATAAGGATCCCTGAGATTTGTCCTGTAGTTCTGGATTTAGGCCACTTAAATTTAGATGCCTCGGTTCTATAAGTGAGCCTATCTCTCCAGGCTCCCCTCACAGCCGATGAGGGGAAATGGGTGCTCCCAGAGTACAACTCACCCTAAAGCAGATAGCCACAATGATTTAGACAGCTTTCATCTTAAAAGTGCCAGTTTCTGAATATAAAGAAAGTCTCAGGAGATTCAGGCAAAGCTGTCCAGGTGTGGTGACAGCGGTTTGTATATGGAGTATGGGCAGGGAATAGGGGCATTCTTGGTGGGAGCACAGCAGCACAGGGGCACTGAACACTACTAATTTTATTTTTTCTGAATTAAATATTGGGGTTTGAGATTTGGAGGAAGGTATGAAGATGCCGTAAAAGACGCGGGTTTCAAACACTGGCAGAAGTGAGAGGTCAGAAGTCTCTTGTGAACAGCTGCAGCCTGGTTTGTGCCGGGGCAGGAGAGCTGACACAGGGGTTTCTTATAAAAAGAGACGCGACTCCATTTGTGTACCACGCTGCCTACCCAACCAAGAGAAATACCCTGTCAGCTCAGAAAGAGTTTCTTTGTGTTTATTTGGCAAGCAGTGAGGTATATTCATGTCTTCATGCGTGCCAATGCTGACTGATTGATTTTCACCCTGTTCTGCGTGCTCAGGATGAACCACCCTACGTACCCGATGCTCCTGCTGCTGGGCCTTGCTGCCCTCCTGGGTAAGTCTGGCAACCCTCGCTGCCTTGTCCCAAGCAGCTGGGGACACACACCATGCAGCCGGGAAGCAGGAGACATTGATGCACCTCCTCATCCCCCTCGTCCCCAAAATCTCGGTTGCCACTAGACTCTATTGGAGTGCTCGGGGTCCCCTTGCGAGTCTTGCAGAAGGAGGGGTGGCCTCTGAGGGGCAGGTGGGCTCGGGGTAGAGGGTGCAGGGTGCAGGATGCGGGGCAGGACCTCACCTCCTCTCCATCACAAGGAGCGACAGAGGCAGCCCCATGCAGCTCCCGCACCCCCCAGCCCGCCCTCTCCAGGGTGCAGCCTCCCTTTGGGTGTTACTTGCAGTCACAAAAGGTTTTTACTGCTTGAGCCTTTCTGTGTCACCTCTGCAGGTGCCTCCCAGGGCCGCACAGATTGCTACGGCAGCGTAAACAGAATTAAAACCTCTGGGGCTTCGTGCAAAACTGCAAAGCCAGAGCGTTTAACCTACTGTGGTGAGTATTCCTCTTCTGCCAGATGGCTCTGTTTCTCCCTGGCATAATAATACCAAATCCTTCCCATTTCCAACGTGCTGAACACACGCTAGCTGCTGAGCCTGCATAGTATCTCTGTGGGCGATCATCTGCCTCCTCCCAGAGGGGAGGCAAATAAAATTTTGATGTAATTCTGTCCGTATCAGAAGGAGAGAGGTGAGAGACCATTCTGAGTTTTAAAAAGTTATTAAGCAAATATCTTTACTTTTGATTTTAATTGCAGGAGTTAGGGCTTCAGAAAAGATTGCTGAACAGGACCTAAAAGCTATGGATCAATATAAAACACTCATAAAGAAAGTTGGAGAAAAACTGTGCATTGAACCAGCCCTGATCGCTGGCATCATCTCCCGGGAATCTCATGCTGGCAAAATACTGAAGGGTGGCTGGGGCGACAATGGAAATGGCTTTGGTTTAATGCAGGTATTTGCTGATGCTCCACTAAACCCCGATAAACAAATAGCACATAAATGAAAGTAAGCCTCCTAAACATATAATCCATTACAGCAGGGAAATGATTTCTTGTTGTTGTTTTGATATTTCTAGGTTGACAAAAACTCACATAAACCTAGGGGACAATGGGACAGCGAAACTCATCTTATGCAGGGCACAGACATACTTATCATGATGGTAAAAAAAATACAGAGGAAGTTCCCACGCTGGACAAAGGATCAACAGCTGAAAGGTAAGGTACAAGCCATGGGTTTTGTCCGGCAGAGAAGAAAAACTTTAGGATGAGAACATACTGAATTAGTTCCCGTGTTCCTCAGTAACCACGTTTCTAACAGGCTGCCACTTAGCTTTTTGCCCCTTTTTTTATTTCACCATGAAAAGACAAGCTTCGTCAATTCTGTGTAGTTTCTGCCTCTCCTTAGTATGGCAGCCTCGCCAAATTTCCAGCACTGTAGCAAATATTTATACACCTGAAAACTAGTGTATGTAAGAGCTGAGCTTTCCTTATCTCACCATGAGGAGTCTCCTACAGCCATTCAGGTTAACAAAAAGCTCTGTGGTTTACTTGAATGGGGCCAGCAGTTCACTCCATATCTCCGTTGACGAAGGAGATGAGGTGTTTGCTCTCAGGGAATTGCAAAACCGTGCTGCCCAATGTGGAAAAGCTGCAGGCTGCACCCCGCAACCCCCTTGGATTGCTGGGGTGCCAGGGTGGGCACACAAACTAAGGAGGTTCGCAGTCACCTCAGATACCTCTGCTTTTCAACACGGCGTATGGAGAAGCATATGTGCAGCTGCAAGACAAAGATAATGCAGTGTATGAGTGTGTTTTAACCCTCTTCTAAGAGCAGTAATTTTCAAGGGTGAGTGAGAGGTTACAAGGATGTTGGATATGATAGATATGATATGATTGATATGATATCATATTACATTATATAATATTATATTAACAAGCCCAGTGTAAATTAAGGGCTTGTGCTGGGCCAGGTAAATGGCACAAGTTCATCAAGTGGCAAGTATCTGTGAACCCAAAACCTCAGGTATCTTTCTGATGTTTTGGCGGATTCAGGAATAACTGCAAGCTGTTTGCAGAGCCCCACTTAAGTCAGAGAAGCTCTGATAATGCCGCCTACTCCCCTTCCGAAGTCCCCATAAGTGAAAGCTTTCAAAACAAGTCAAAGCAGAACATATCAAGCTGGAATTTTCCCTATTTTTTTTAACTCTGTGTGACTTCTTTTGGTGTTTCATTTCAGGTGGGATTTCTGCCTACAACGCTGGTTCTAACAACGTCCGAAGCTATGACAGAATGGACATTGGCACCACCCATGATGACTACTCCAATGATGTGGTTGCACGAGCCCAGTATTACAAGAAACACGGATACTAGGCTCGGGAATCTCTACTGAGCAACTTCCTTGCCATCACCCGCGTGACACCCCTGAAGGAGCCAAGATACAGAGCAGCTGTACCGTGCAAACCCATACAGATGCAAATGTATAGGAATGATTTACATGGAATAAGAATGTGCAGACTAAACTCCTCAATTTTTAAACAATATTCAGTAAGGCACCAGTCATGTAGTTTCTTTACAAACAGCATGGTTTAGATTTTACAAAGGCAATATTACCAAAATCTTCGTATTTTTTCCTGCTATCTACATATTTCTCTGAGTTATGAGGACCATCTTGTTTTGCTATTGATAATTTGCTGCCTTCCAGATCTTACAACAATTTTCTGCCAAACCCTGTCATTCTTTTAAGAAATCAAAAGGCAAAATACTTCCTTGGGTATTGGCTTAATGATTTTTTTCCTAAAAGCTGCTTGATATTTACATTATGCTGTAGGGTAGTAATCTTTTTCTGAATGCTAATTTTTCATATAAATGCATAGAATAGAGATGGATGCTTTCAGTCATACAGAAATAAGCAAACAGAAATTGAATAAAAGTGTTATTAGCAAACAAAACAGGATTCCAATGTACTCATATTTTCATGTGTGTTAGCAAATTTTGGATAAGTGCAATGTCAATTTTAGGCAGATAGAGAAACTGAGAAGGGGAGAGGATGAAATGCATATTTTCATGTCATAAAATTCTTTTCTGCTGCTGCTTGTAGAAGAGCAACACTCAGGAAAACAGCAATCTTTGAGTTCAGCATGTTTTGGTGCTCCTATTCCTTCTAGACCTGGAATTGAACTATTTGGGGGGTCAGAGAGTGGAGAGGCAACGAAAGGAGAGGGGTAGGTGCCTGCACGACTGAGTGACACTCATTCCCCAGGGCCAAAGGAAGAGTTGGATTTGGTCTGGCAGTGCCAGCCGTCCCTTTCCCACCAGCATTCACATGCATATGCTGAAGCAACTTCCTTTCTTCTTCCACAATAAGCACACCTTCTGGGACTGGGAATAACTGCATGTCAAAATAAGTAGAAAAACCACTGGCTGCAAGGATCTTAAATGGATAGGAAAATGTAATCCAAAGCCATTAACAGTGCACAGAGTTATGATACACATCCTCCTAGCAGCAATTAGAGACCATGCTGCAAACATCCAACGTTGATTTAAACAGGATAGATAGTGCCCAGCCAACCTGTTTGCCTCCTGTAATGAGAAGATAGGCTTTACGGAAAAGGGGAGAGGAGCAGATATGGTATACGACCTAGCAAGGTCTTTGCCCCAGCCTGCCATAGTGTCCATATAGCCAGACTGGTGAGACATGGACTGGATAGGCAGGCAGAAAAATTGTCTAGAAGGTTGACAGGCTCAAAGCATGGTGGTCAGCATCCCAGGGTCCAGCTGGTGGCCAGTTGCAAGTGGCATCCCCCTAGGACGGATCCTGCAGGCAGTACTGCTTTGTGTCTTCAGCAGCAATTCAGACTAGGGGCTGAGAGTGCTCCCAGCAAGTTCACAGCTGATACCAAACGTGAGGTCCTGGAGAGGCTGGAGAAATGGGCTGACGGCAACCCCATGACGATCAATTAAGACAAAGGCAAAGCCCTGCACCTGGGACAGAACAACCCCATGTGCCAGTATGGGCCGCGGCCAACTGTCTAGAAAGCAAGCTGTGCAAAAAGGGGCCTGGGGGTCCTGGTGGACACCATGGGACCTCGCAGAGATATACCTAAGAGCACCCTGAGCTGCATTAGCAAAATCCTAGCCAGCAGGGAGGGGAGCAATCATTTCCCTCTCTTTCATGCTTGTCAGACCACACCTGGAGCACTTTGGGGCTCCCTGATAGAAGTGGGACACCGACACGCTGGGGTGAGTCCAGTAGAGGCCGCCCAGCCAGTCA